CGACTGTCTCAGAACAATGAGCAACAAGCTCTTAAAATACTGTTGTCAAAGGTCAGCGTAACAGGCTCCAAAAAAATCGATGAAGGGAGATGTAACGAAAAGTCAGGGGCAACAGCTGGATTACTGGTAAGAAATGTAGACCAGAACTGCAGTATCTCATGGACGAGCTCTTCAGTGCGCAAGAAAAAAAAAAACGGAACGTTCTCAACCTTTACTGTAGGAATTGAGGATTTCCATGGCTGTGAAAAAATCTCTGAGGTGTAAAAATTTGAAATGGGTGCAACTTTACCCATTGTAGCCACATCAGGCCGAAGCTGACGGGCGTTTATGCGAACTACAGTTGTCAGCAAGAGGTATGGGTGATTCAACTATACAAATTCTGAGAAAGTGAAGGAGAGAAAATACTTAAAAAACTGGACGGGAGTCTGTTCGAAGAACATGTCAGTTTTCCAGAATTTGAAATTCTGCGCCAGTTGATAGCGAATCCCTCACTTAGCGCCATGAATTAGGAAGTCTTCCGAAAGGCGCCCAGCAGTGACACCATTAGCAACGAACTTATCTGATCTAACAGACACAAAATCTGGAAGACTCTCGCAGTTTGCTTCATTCTGTGCTTGGCCGATAGGCGAAATACACAGCAGTTGGAGAGAGACAAAAACTATTTTACTGTACAAGAGAAGTGCCAAGGAAGATCAGAAAAACTGTCACCGTCTGCATAAGTTAATACTTACAAGACGTACAGGTGAATTATAACAAACCGACTAAAGAGACTCATTTTTTGATGAGAAAACAAGCAGTGTTTCGGTGTATCTGCTGTATAATGGGTTATGCTCTTGTCGCGAGTCCAGTCTATCTCTTTTTTCTAATGGTACATTGCTTGCATTGTCTTGATAATACAGTTTCTGCACTTGCAAATACTATTTTACTTGCGGCTATTTGAAATCCGAGAGGTTGCTCAGTTCGTTGGTGCATCAGCTGCTGACTGGCATGCTTGTGATACTGGCATTGGTTAAAATGAATTTCCAATTCTCTTTTTGTTACTTTCTTTGGAGGTACAGGGACACAATGACTTGCGAACAGTGCAGATTGCAGGAACGTAGGGACGTTTATTACGCGCATAAAATTTTGTTCTTTTGCGGCAAATTGCACATTATACGGTAGGTGTTGGTATTTCTGCGGTCTGCGTTCTTCTTCGGTACCAGCACTGCTGCCTAATGTTTCACACCCGTGTGCAGGCCTTATCTTATTTGTGCAACAAATTACTGAACTATTTTATGGAAAAAATTCCTTCGGATCAATTGAAATAAATCAATCGTTTAGGCCGCCGTCACCTCTTGACCACTCAGACGCAAATGAAATAACGCGACGAGAAGCCGAAAAGCAGGAAAACCTAGCAAATGAATTATTTGGCATGGCTCGACTGATGAAGCAAACATACACAACAGCAGGCGCCGTTATTAAAGAGGACAATGCTGTTTGTATTTCCTGTTATCCAACTGCATCCACTTTCCTGGATTAGAGTGGTACCTATTATTGTAAAGAGAATAGTAATCCGGTTGCGAGGAAGCGTAGGATTGGGGGATAGGAAGGAGTACGGGGGAGGGAAGGAGAGGAATAGCAGATGGAGATAGTACCAACTTCAGCTGTGAACTCGTTTTCGGAAGGTTCCTCGCTGCCATCATTCCGGTGGTTGTCTATCAAACATTTGTTACATTATTTTCCTATTTTAAACGATTCAGTCCAAATCGATTTTTTTGATGAATTTTTTTGTGTCATGGGGCTAACGAACTTGGAGTTGTTGTAGTTAACTTTATTGTCAGTTTAAATTAATGCTACTGCATTCCACTATTGGAAAATTAGTTCCTTTGGGGTTCCTCCACTGATATATGCCAGGAGCCGAAATCATCATCATTTGCTTCAAAGCAGCATGCCTCATCATGGCTGTCTTGATAAATTGCTGTTGTTAGTGCCACATTCAAGTGCCTTGACCTCCCGAATATGGCGAAATATCGAAGCTGTTTGACTTTTAACTTTGACTGATTTGAGCTTGAAGTTTATTTTTTCAAGCATGTTTTAGACACTGTCGCGACTACAACAAGCAGCAGATAGCCATAAGGGAAGTCTGCTACGCGAAAGCAAACGTCTTGAAGAATACGCATATCGATCCTGGTGTGATTTATTATATATCATTGGTATTTGTGCGATTATTATGTCGTTTATTTCTATGGTGCTTGTGATGAGGGTTTTCACAAAAAAATATTAAATTCTGAGATTGAAACGAGCGAAAATTGCTTTTTGTTCACAGAACTTGCATGAAAAACAGACAAGTTCTGGCTAAACATCGGAATAAACCAGAAAATTGGAGAGGGAGTAATTTTTCTAACGTCGCTAAAGCTATCAGACTCACTATAAAGTAAAAGAAGCAAGCTTATATCTTCTGGGGTTTTAGTGCTGCTTGGTTATCAGGACTCCTCAGCAGATTTTCTCTGAGAAAGTTTTAACGCGGGTAGCGATATATTAATTAGTAGCGTCAAATTTGGGTTATTAAACCTTTGTGTGTGAAAAAGGCGCAAATACAACTTATAAACAACAGTTCGTCTTCCAGCAGTGAAAATTCACAAAACAAAATTTATCTTTGAAGAACTCAACAAAAAGAATTTGCAGAATCAAATGACGGTGGAAAAAA